ATCCTCACCCTCATCCCACAATACTAATAAACCATCTGGTAATTTAATTTCTGCACGCCTCAACTAAGCTAAATAAACGTTTCTATCGCAAAAAATATTTACATTTTAAAGTGTTTCTGGCCAAAACAGAGGGATTAATGGAGAACTAGTCCATCTGAATTTTCAATATTTGGTGCCACACAAGGGGACGAATATGGCGTATAAAATTGGAATAACATACGCAGTGGTTTATTTTCAAGAACAATTTAAATAATTTATAAATTTCAATATGAAGGAATAAACTTTTTTTTCTACTAGTAAATCTAATTTTAAGTCAACTGATTTGTATTTTTCCTTCAAAAATTTCATGTCATTAACATTGTGGTGTGGGTTCCACATAGCCTTGTGCGAGAGTTTGGTGATTTTCTAACATTAAATTAAGAGTTAATTTTAATTTTCCTCTCTCTCGTGAATTTTAGAACGGAGTATTTTACACTTTAATGGTTCAATATATAGTCAAAAAGCTTCATATTGTTTTTAGACTCAAGTGTATTGTTGGATTTGTCATTCAAACTAATGAAATATAATATCAGACACATCATCTTTTAAAATAGGTTGGTTCCTTAAAAAATAAATAAATAAATAAATAAAGTGAAATTATCACAACAATAAAAACGACTTTAACTGCCCATTTTCTCCAAAATAAAATTAGATTAGTATGCTCAATTAAATTAAATTAAGGATGTCTAAAATATAAAATATAATTCAATTTTTTAAATATAATTAAATAAAAAATAAAAATAAATAATAATTAAGAATTGAATCTAAAATATGAATTAAATAAAATTAGATTAAATGTTAGAAATAACAATAAATATTAATATAATTTAGAATTAATTATGATATAAAATCACACTAATTAAAATTAGAAAAAAAAAGTTAGTAATAACATAAATATTAAAATATTTAGGATTAATTGTGATCTATAATACAATTAAAAAAAAATTAGAATAAAAATTTTAAGATTTACGATAATAATTAAAAAATTATAATTATGTGGAATTTAATTGAAATGTCAGACATTATAAATTAGTGTTATGAGATAGAAGAGAGAAAGAAAATAAAAAAAATAAAGTTTAAGATTTGAGAATGTATATTCATTTCACATCTATGTTAATAGGTATTAATGGTTCACTTGGCCCAAAATTACATAGGGACTCTCTGATTATATTTTAACCATAGAGACGTAAAAATATTTTTCGTCTTAAACCAGAAAGAAGTAAAATAATTTTCACCCAAAATTTAATAAAAGTGCATGTTTGTACATATAACCCAAGAGTTTTTTTTTGTTTTTTTTTAATTATTTTTAGATTGATAAAGGTACACATCAAATACTATCAACAAGAAAACATTAGCCAGCAAAAACAGGGGCTTCAAGAAAGAACAGTGCTCCAAAGAAGGTGACTCTTCCATCCAAAATTGTTAGGTTTTATTATTGGTCTCTGTTGACAAAATTTTATTTAGTTGCATTTTATTCCTCTACTTTTATCTGTGGAGTTACAAGAGTTTAGATGCAACACCAACTCAAGTGTGAACTAGCGGAGGAGTTTGTACTAACCATTTCATATCTTGACTTGTCATTCCTATGAGCACTAGCCTTTAGTCACATGCTTGAAGCGATAAAGTGAAACTCGAGCCGTCTTTGTGACATGTTTAATATAAAGTACTATTATTTGCAATTTTTAGCGTTCAACCCATCCTGATATATAGTGAGGAAGAGAAAACAAAGTGTTATATATTGTAGGGTATTATGTATTATTTTTTGTTGATGATTTGAGAATGCATCGATTGACTCAACGAGTTTTATATTGGACTATCAAGAAATAACACATTTGCCGACCAAATAATGGTCCGTTAAAAAGCCTATTTTTAGTCTGGCAAAAGTTACTGTGTACACCAATTTTTTGGTCGTACTCTGGTCAACTAATTGAGAAGTCGGCTAAAAGTAATTTGCGACCAAAATTTTTGTTGGTCGGGAAAAGTTGGCTTTGCCGACTAAATTTTTGGTCGCTAAATATATCATTACTGCAACTAATCCATTTTGACAATAAAACACTTTGGTCGCGAAAAGTGATAATTTTCCGACCAAATATCTTAGTCGCCAATTGTCACATTCCGCGACCAAACAGATTAGTCGCCAAAATTCGAGGAATCGCCGACTAACAATTTGGTCGCCAAAAGGTAAGCAATTGCCGACCAATGATTTTAGTCGCAAAAGTGTAGAATTTGCCGACCAATTTTTTAGTCGCCAAATCTCTTCTTTCTTTTTTTTTTTTTCTTTTGTTTTTGAGAACAATCAATTTTTGTTTTTAAATATTCAATCCAATATTGAACAAAATTCATTCAACCCAACCATAATTAAGGAACAATAACATTTGAGGAAGAAAAAGCTTAGGAACAATAATTAACAAATTCCTTTCTTGTAACTTCACTAAATCATCAAACAATAATTGAATTCCATTTAAAATAAAGATGAAAATATGTAACCGTAGTGCAGCACAGGGCATATTCAAGTCAAATTGAATTTAGTAAGCATGTCTTCTCAAAAGCTATATCCTCTTTGAAGTCCAACATGACACAAAACTTGAAGCCTTTCACCTTCTTTAATGATTTAACATATCAACTTGCTTGGCAGCTGATCCAAACTAACATATTAACTTTATGGATAATTGACACTCCACCCTTGCATGGCCGAATGAAATAGCCACTTGGAAGCATTTCAGCTCTCACAAATTGAGTAGCAGCAGCTACATTTGGGCTAGCACCAGAACCTGACAGAGATCTCTCATAGACCTTGAAAGATTGATGACAAAAAAAAACAAAGATCAAATTTTTGCATCAGCAACTGTCCCAAAAGCATAAGTTTTAGAAAATAAGCGAAACAATGTATTCAATTAAGTCCAAACTCGATTCATTTGGTAATATTAATGCCCTCAATTAATACAAAATGATGTAAATTATGTATAAATGTTTTTGAAATTAAACAAGAATCAGAAAAGATAAGAAATTTCTCTCACCCAAACAAGAGGCTAGAAATATTTCTTTACTAGCAAATGTAAGTTTTTTCTTCAAAAAAAAAATAAAAATTAGAGGATCCAAACGTCTAAATTGAGAATAGGTATCAGACACATATCTCACATTCTTACCCTTATCATATCTGATGGACACAGGCACTATGAAACAAAATAGAAAAACCCATATAACACAAGTACCAGCAAAACTATAAGTACTATACTAGACCTATATGAAAAAATTGTTCATAGAAGTTTATGTGAAAGCTTTAACTAAAAGCTATTTTTCTAAACTAGCATCCCAAGAGGTCCTTGCAAAATCTCAACAAGGAAATTACCATTTGCAGAAGAGCAGAAAAAGTCCAAGCAATATCATGTTTCTCTTGGCCCCTAATGACATTGGCAAATGACATGGTATTTCCACTGTCTGCATCCATGGACAGCTTCTCCAATATTCTTTCACCATATTCTTGAATATCGAACGGTAGGCGTGAATCCTATCGGGAAAATGTTAGGATTGATACAAATCCACATGAAAATTGAAATTCAAAATAATTAAGTTTTGGATGTGTGAGGGGAAAAAAAAAGAAGAGTAAAAATGATGGCATTTGCTTGTCAAAATCAGATGGACCAAAATCAAAGCCTCCATTATCATAATCATTGTTATCATTGGGATCACAAAATGATTCACAAGTTTCACGTCCTCCATGAATAAGTGAATTTATCAATTGTAAATAAAACATCAGGCATCATTTAACAAAAACTACACCGCTTAAGGAGACAATATTAAACAACCAACAAACCAACCTTTTCATATTTTGAAGGAGATTGGGATTCTTGTCTTTCTGAGGCATGATGTCGTGCTTCCCATATATCATTGTGCTCTGAACTAATGGTACCATGCATTCTTCCGAGAGGGAACTGAATAGTTATGGATATCCGTTTAGTGGAATTAATCCCCTGTCTTCTAAAAGATTTCACTGCTCAGAAACAGAATAAAGAAGTTGAACAAGATTAAGAGCACAAGAAGAAGCAAGGAAAAAAAAGCGTGCAAAGAAACAAAAAGCTTGAACAACCTTTTTAAAAAGGTTTTACCCTCAAATTCCCGGGCTCATAGGGATTCAAAGGCTTCCATGGATGATCTTCATCATCCAAGTCTCCAGGGTCTGAATATCTATCATCCATTTCAAATCCATAGTTTTCAGGAATATCACAAGCAGGAGGATCAGGCGCAATATTACAATCTTTAAATTCGAAGCCATGATCAACTGGAGGAGATTGATCAAGATTAACATTCTGATTCTTTCCAATGGATGACTTGTAGCTAATTCCCCCCCGATCGGTTAATGGGAGACAGAAAGCCCTTGCGAGATTTAGAGGCCAAAGAGCTGCCTCTGCATATAACATTCACCCTTTACCAGCTTTATTGGGGTGAAAAGTATTTTCTATTTTTAAAAAGTAAAGAACATTTTTTAGAGAAATATTGCCTCACTACCACTACTAACATCACATTCACCAACCCACCGTCACCCCCAGTGCACCACCCACCTCCTCCACCTCCATTCTCACCCTCATCCCTACAATCACTAATACAACCATTGGTACATTAATTTTGACGCCTCAACTAAGCATAAATAAAATTTATTTAATTTCACAATTTTGAACAACATAAATAAACGTTTCTACTGCAAAAAATATTTTACATTTTAAAGTGTTTCTGGCCAAAACAGAGGGATAATGAGAACTAGTCATTTCCTCTACCTCGCATCACATCATATGCATTCCATTCAACACCACAAGATATCCATATTCATCAAACTTTTGAAATAGAATCCCACATCATCATCAGTAATTTATTCCCCAAAACGCATATAACAATTACAGACCAAATTAGACTCAATGTGTACATTATTGCTATATCACAAAAATAAAATAGATGAACCAAAAAATAATAATAAAGAAATAAGGAAAACAAAACAATTGATATAATAGTAAAAATCAACTGTGTGACTGAGTTTATGATGGGTTTTTCTGTTTGTATCTGTAACCATATAAGTTAGGGCTTAACGGCAAGACCAGCCTTAATCTTCTGAATGGTAGCAACGTTGGTCTTAAAGGACTTGGCAAGGATCTCATCATCAATCCCAGTAGCGAATAGAGTCGCCGGAGTAGACACGGCCCCTGCATTTGCACTTCCAAAAGCAGAGATAGCTGTGGCTTGTTCACTAACATCGGCATTGTATTGGTAGTGCACCAATCCCTTAGGAAACACAAACATGTCTCCAACCTGAAGTGTCTGGGTGTAAAGTTTGTTTGCAGTGTCGACGAAACCAACTTCCATACAACCTTCCACCAGGAAAAGAAGCTCTGCTGAACGGGGATGGGTGTGCGGTGGGTTAACACCGCCAGCAGGGAACTGGAGAAATGCCATCGACACACTCTGGCCATTGAGAGCTGGGAACTCAGCCATGGTGGCTTTCGTGACCTTGAAGTTTGGTGGGTTGGTTGAGTTAGCAAGAAGTCCGCGCATTCCAGTGAAGGTGAAGAAGTTTCCATCAATAGGAGTGGTGGAATTTTCAGGGATTATGAAGTCTGATAAGATATCTGGGTCCCCGGCATGAGCAATATAGGAAGTGGAAAGGATAGAGAGGAGAAAAAGAGCATGATTAAACAAGCTTGAGGAGGCCATTGTTTTAGATAGTAAATTATATATGAGAATGAGATTGTGTTTTTGGGATGATTAGATGTGGGTTAGAGGGTGATCAATTTATAAGAAATGACACTAGTGAATAAGACAATTTGAAGATGATGAAGAGGACCGGCCGGGGCTTGATGTTCACAATGTTTGACCACTTCAAAAGTTTCCCATTGGGATTAATTCATAGAGAGTTCAAAACAGTTAGCAATTTGGAAAATGTTATGGATCTCAAATAAATTATCAAATTTTTTATCAAACTTTTTACGTGGCTGTGGGACCTACACAAATTACATGTGTGTCATGTGAGAAGTTTAGTAAAAAATTTGATAATTATTTAGGGTTCCTAGCATAATTCTCGCAAGAAGAGCTACTTGGATGTTATCGATGATGGTGAGAGAAGCTTAGAACATTGGATTTCGACATTTGAATAGTATTTCTCTAATTCTTTTTTCTTATAATTGCAAAATGACAAAATCAAACAACTGCAATTAGGACAGTGTCATTGTAATTTTCATATTTGGTGCCCAACAACAAGGGACCGAATATGCGTTTAAAAATTGGGAGAATAACATAGCAGTGTTTATTTTCAAAAACAATTTCAAATTAATTATAAATTTTATAAATTTCAATTATGAAGGACATAAACTTTTTTTCTACCTTAGTAATTAATTTTTGAAAGTACAACTTTTTTGTATTCTTCCCTTAAAAAATTTCATGTCATTAACATTGTGGTGTGGGTCCACTAGCCTTGTGCAAGATTTGGTGATTTATATGCAGTAAAAATTTAGGGTTAAATTTATTTTACTCTCTCGTGGTTCAGAATGGAAGTATTTTAATTAGGTTTTTATGGTTCAAATATAGTAAAAAATTCTCATATTATTTTAGACTAAAGTGCCACCGTTAGATTTTTCATTCAAACTAACGAAAGATATATCACACACATCATCTTTTTAATTATAAATTTTATAAATTTCAATTATGAAGGACATAAACTTTTTTTCTACCTTAGTAATTAATTTTTGAAAGTACAACTTATTTGTATTCTTCCCTTAAAAAATTTCATGTCATTAACATTGTGGTGTGGGTCCACTAGCCTTGTGCAAGATTTGGTGATTTATATGCATTAAAAATTTAGGTTTACTCTCTCGTGGTTTAGAATGGAAGTATTTTAATTAGGTTTTTATGGTTCAAATATAGTAAAAAATTCTCATATTATTATAGACTAAAGTGCCACCGTTAGATTTTTCATTCAAACTAACGAAAGATATATCACACACATCATCTTTAACAATAGGTTTGGTTTTCTAAAAAAACAAAAAAAGTGAAATTAATACAACAAAAAACGACTTTACTCCCATTTTCTCCAAAACTAAAATTAGATTAGTATGCTAATTAAAATTACATTAAATTAAGGATTGATCTAAAATATAAAATATAATTAGAATTTATTTAAACTATAATTAAATAAAAATATAAAATAAATACTAATTAAGAATTGATCTAAAATATGATTAAATTAAAATTAGATTAACATGTTAGAAATTACAATAAATAATTAATTATGATATAAAATATAATTAAATTAAAATTAGATAAAAAAATTTAGTTATTGCAATAAATAATTAAATATTTAGGATTAATTGTGATCTAAAATACTATTAAATTAAAATTAGAATAAAAAATTAAGAATTACGATAAATAATTAAAAAAAAATTATAATTATTGTGAAGTTTAAGATTTGAGAGTATTATAATCATTTCACATCTATTGTTAATGCTTATTGAGATATGCTTCATATCAGATGTACATATCAAATATACATCCGTGTAGACGTCCCCGAACGCCCCGTGGAGGAACGAGTCCCCCCCGTTCCGTTCGATATTGGGCTCACTACAGTTCAGGACTCTAAAATTGCCACGGTTCTAAGTCTGAACCATAGAGTCCAAATCCGGCAAATCGTTTTGAGAAAACAAATTTTGAAAGAAGTGCCAAACATGGACTGCTTTGCCAGATACAAAGTCGCCACCTAAATGTTTTATTTTGGGAAAATTTAGGAAACCTGATCGTTGTCTAAGGCCACGTGTCCGTCATCACCAAGTTGCCTCGGCTTGGGAACTTGGGTACCGATTGGGGAAGGTCACTTCGTGAGCACCCCCGCTCGCCCGATTAAAGATCGACCTCTACTAACCATGATATCTATTTTTTGAAAACATTATGTGTTCTTATTCCGGTTATTAGCCTAGTTTACTATGTGATGCGCACAGCATACAAGTATAGACTGGATCGCCTGAATTAGAATAAAACATTTCATGTTTGTTTGTTTGAAAATGGTTTGATGGTGCTACCCGCAAGTAAGCTAAGACGTGGATTTGCCACCCTCGGGTGGGCTTAGAAAACATGATTTTGCCACTATCTAGTGGGCTTAAAACACACATTTGATGAATTGTTCCAATTCAATAACCCAACATTCCACCACAAGCATTCAGGCATTTATATCACATAAGCATATAGTCTCATGGTAAGCATGCTATTCATGGTAGTCACTCACAACGCATGCAAGGATGCTAAAGCATAAAACTTACCGAGTACTCCAAGCCAAAACAAAACTATGTTAGAAATCCATACATGATCCTAACTATACAGAAATGCCTAATGCAACACATGCAAAAATGCAACTAATATAGGCTCGGCTATTCTAAACATGGCTATAGAAAAGCTACAGCTAACATGTATTCAACTTGGATTTGAAAATACAATGCAGTTAGTATGATGCGCCGAGCCCGGTGCATGCAAAACAGATGAATGAATGCAAAACATGCTATCATACTGTATGCTAATTGAAACATGCCCTAATCTAACCATCATAAGTGAGTAAATAAAAGGGAGAAAGACGTGGGGTTGGAAGACATACGTCACACACACGCACACTTATTACAGTTGTGCCCTCGCGCAGAGGGTCCGAATAAATAATATACAGTCCCAAATGAATAATTACAGCTCCAAATATGTACAAAAACCCTAATTAATTAACAAATTAAATTAGGAAAGCAATAATTGGCATGCAAGCAGGGACTGCCTCAAATCTGCTCCGGATGATAAATGATGCATGCTCGGGTTGCCTTGTGCGGAGAATCTCTCGCGATGCCCCGGTTTGTCTCTGTTTGTAATTGTTCTTGGGATGCGTGCCAAGCTCCGGAAGGCTGTCGATTTCTGATTTGCTGCAACAGAGAGCAACAAAGGGGAATGACAAAGTATTTTCACATATGTATGCATGACTACTCTTCAGGGAGTGTAGTCCTCGGTCCTCGTGCCACCAATCACGCATATCGATGCATGATATGGCCGAGGAGTCGAATTGCACGACTCAATATGAAATGAATGCACATATGAACACAACAAAACCTAAACTCCATCATGGATAATCCGGAGTGTCGGTGACTGGGAATCGAGACACGTTCCGTCACTCGAAGTACGAAACGTCCCTCGTTTCTCGTGCTCGGGCTAACTCCTATCCCAAGCACAATGCAATATGCATGACATGCATGAATGCAACTAATATACAACCTAGCATGCACAATGCTATGAGATGGCATACACAATGCACGATGTAATAAGGCATACGCAATGCTCTAACATACAACCTAGCATACGCAATGCTATAAAATGAAATGGCATACTCAATGCACAATGGACTTACACCAACATGAGTGGACCTCAGCCACACTCACATTAGTAGCCATGAGATGAAAAATGAGACACTCGAAATGCGTGCACCCGTGCACGCAAACCGAGGACCAAGTCTAAGGCATAAATGCCACTCTAACAAGGCATGGCAAGTCACGAAATATGGCACACAAGCATGCAAGTTTCAGCACTGAAATGTGATGCAAAATGAACCCGAAACATGGAAACATGGCACCCGATGCATGGAATGGCCCCGAAACACAAAACTAGGCATATGCATTGGCCTATAGCTATACAAAGAATGCATTATTTGATCATGAAGCATGAAGACAGATTCAAGGCAGTCCCAAAACATACATATTTCCAGTTTATAACAAGTCCCAAAAACAAACACAAATAGGGCTAAGTTAACATGCAAAAATGGCCCCAAAAGAGAGATAAAGAAGCAAGTAGCAGCTTTTGGCCCCAAACAATGAAGGGCACTTCAACAAAGTTGAAGAGGGATTTTACAGTTTATGGCCGAGCCCAAAATAGTGCACAAGTAAGCTTAAAATACTATGCAAGAAATAGGCCTAAAAGAAGGTTTAAACACAAAGTGTAAAAAGAGAGCCTCAAACAGCAAAAGACCCTTGATCAAACATGAAGAGGGGGTCAAAATATGACTATTTTAAGTTCGGGTCGGAGCCCAAAAATACAAGCACAAGGGGCTAAGAAAACATGCAAAAATAAGGCCAAAAGAGGGATAAAGAGGCAAGTGACAAAAGGAAGCCTCAAACAGTGAAGATCCCTTCAACAATGTTGAATAAGGGCTCAAAATAAGTCACTTTTCAGTTTATAACCAAGCTCGAAACAATTTACAAATGAGCCTAAAATACTATGCAAGAAAGAGGCATACAAGAGAGGTAAAGAAGCAAGTGTAAAAAGGAAGCCTCAAACAGGGAGAGGCCCTTAAACAAACATGAAAAGGAGCTCAAAATAATGCTATTTTAAGTTAGGGTCAGAGCCCAAATATGCAAGAAAGAGGAGCCAATATATTGAGCAAAAATAGGGCCAAAGAGAGGGATAGAAGACTTACCCCTGAAGACCAATGCTTCAACAACTCTTGGCTTGAGAAAAGGTGCTCCTTGCCTCTGGAAAACCAGCTCCAAGTGTTGGAAAGGATGGTGGGGAGGTGGTGCTATGTGGCGGTGTAGAAAGGGGCCAAAAAAAAAAAACAAAAGGGTTTTGATGCTTGGAATATAGAGAGAGAGAAATTAAATGTAGGAGGCTTAAACAAAATTTTTTTTCTTCTCCAAAATGCAGCTGGAGCTTCTAGTTTTATAGAGGGAGGAATGGAGGAAAAGGGG